CGCCGAAGATCCGACTGCGGACGTTACTGCTGCATATCAGCATCTGGCCAGCGCGAGCCCGTGCCCTCTGGAGCAGACGTCGAAACGGCTAAGCCCGCTTCAACAGTCGACCCCGATATGAGAGACCCACCCAGCATAATCGATGACAGCCATGTTATTCTGCCGTCGGAAGCTGCAGCTGCGGGGTCGTCCACCGAGAGCGCTGAGCTTCCTGCAGGTGATGTTGAACCTGCGTCAAGCTTGGCCACCGGGCTTAGCGCTAGCGCTACGAGTGCATCTTCTGCTGTTCCTGAGAACGACAAAGCCCCTCTAGAAGCCCGAATTGACCAGCCAACATCTGAAGCGAACGTTCAATCCGAAATCGCGCTTACTGCTGCCCCAGAAGAGCCAGATGGGCCCACCAATCTGAATGAAAGGGGTGACAGACCTGCCCGAGCAGCTGCGCACGCCGATGCAGTCCCAAGCTTCGAGTCTCCCGACGTGAGCGCTCTCTTCGAAACGGCGAACGCAGAGGGTGGTGCTATCCAGGAGCAGCTACCCCCTCTCGAGGGTCTACCTCTCCCCGTTATCGGCTCCCCTTACCTTCCTACTCCGCCTCTGTCTGCGTATGTGGACAGACCCGATCCACTTTCTATGCTAGCATCCGGGCGTCCGCCATCCACGAAAGGCTCCGATAATGACTCTGCTGCAGCGGGCGGACTTCCAGAAAATCGCGCCGTAACACCGTTCGTGTCCGAGCCACCCCCAGGAGACAGCAGCGCTGGTGAGCCCTTCCAGGAGTCCCCATGCTGAACGTGAAGACATTAGTCTGAGGGAGGGCTAAGTCTTCAGCCCGAGGGTAGGAGGATGCGATGTTACGATGCTGGGGCAGACAGTACGGAAATAGTTCACACTGTATCTTAGAAGTATTGGACTCCGGCAACACGGGTGGCTTGCACGCGAAACAGTCTTGATTACTACCCTCTTAAGCAGCGGAAGTGGCATCGTGTACTTTGGACTGGAGGCTGCCGATAGTTCCCAAGTGCGGGACTAGAGTCTCGCGCTTCAGGCGCCGGCTAAAACTGATAAACAGCTGTGTAGGGCTGCCATTGACCATTACATGTTATCAGCCTCGTATGCAACGCGTGTGGCCAGTGTATATTGTGGTAAGGGAATAAATGGCTATCAACGAATCGTGCACGCCAATTCTGGAACCGAAACCAATGGGTTAAGCTCACGTAGCGTCTACTTATAGCATAAGACAAATATCAACAAATCTTTCTGATGACTATAAGCGAGCGAATAGGTCAAGTAAATACGTAGTTTACAGCGAGAGTATATGCACCATGACAAGCTAATTGGATTTCCTGCCCATTCTTAACCTCCTCAACGTCTTCATCATCCAGGTCTGGCAGATCGAAATTCTACTTATCGTCCCCACTGAGGACAACGATAGAGTCAGGAGGGACAACGAACCAGTCGTGGTGCACGTCTCCACCCCGCTCCTGCACCTCGCCGTGGAATGCAATGTTACGGCGCTTGTGGGGTACGTAGGTGTGGAAATATAATCCGCAATCTTCGCATGGGCTATCTCGGTACACCGTTGAGCATGCAGACTGGCTTAACTTAAGATTGTACAAGTGGGATATACGACATGACGTGCGAGTATGACGGATGATGTTGATCATAGTACAGCAAAATATTAAAGCCTGTATGAATGGTTCGATGCAAAGGGTTTCATTCAAATGCAATAAGTAATGTGCGATGATGGGTGAAGGACAAATGGAGTGGAACGAGTGACGTGACATGTCAGAGTAATGGTATGCAGTGGGACGATAAAGGAGGAGAACTATGTGCATGGTCAGAGGAGGAGTGGAACACGCGGTAAAATGAGCGTAGAAGGTATGAAGCATATCATGGATAGGTAGAACAAACAGCGGCCGCAAGACACGCCGTTTCTATGGATGCACTATTAGACGACATCCTACACATCGTCGTCAGTAGTGGCCCTTCCAACATTAGATTCGTAAGTGTACTCACCTCAGCCACGGAGAAACGCCGCATTACCCTGCGCACGATCGCACCTCTCTGCGATGCGCATCGCGCTCTCGAGCGCACGCTCTACGAGGCCGCGACTCGGACTCTCGACTGGGGTACTCTGCAACAGATCTACACGACCAACAGTGATGATCAGCTCCCGTCCCAAGACAGAGACAAAGCCACAAGACGCACCACGATACTGCAAGACATAGCGCATGATCCTCTGCACCGGCAGGACAGCAAGCTCCCGCACGCTTGGCAGCTTCTCCCTCGTCTTGAGCTCCTTCCTGCTCTCGACCGCCCTGGCCTCACCATGGAAGTTCGTCAAGCGAGGGCTGCCGGGCACGCTCTGGTACGATGCACCCTGATGGGGATGATAATGCGAGTGCGAATGATGCCCCTGCGTCGCGAGGCTCGGGCTGCTTAGGAACTTGGTCTTCCACGCCCCGAGCGTGCGGCTGAGCGTCCCACTATCATTCGGGTTCTTGGTGATGCCCTCGCCATGGGAAGACGGCGACTGTGCTGGTGAGATGCCGTACGCGAGCCCGGTACCGAGAGCGGCGGTGAACAGCCCGAGACCTTGCTCGTTCTGCTCGCTAATCGTGTCCGGCGTGGAGTGCACCATGCGCGTAGGAGGGGTGCGCGGCGATGCACACGCAGAGGTCGATTCCGATGCCGAGCCCGCACGTCCAGCCGCGTCGCGGTGATCGTAGGAAGAAACACCCCGCTGGCTGTACACGCTTTCTGTGCCCCTAGTCTTCTTGCCTATCCCGAACGCTTCGCCGACGTTGCCGAGGCTGCTGTTTCTGCTCGCACGAGTGAACCTCCGCGTCAACCTCATCTCCTTCTCATGTTCGAGGTCGTCCGCGGGAGGCTCAGATGCGAGCAAAACCTCGCCAACGACGCCCGCCCAGCCGACAAATGCGACTTCAGTATCCTCTTCGATGGCAACAAAGGCAACGCTGACGCCCCATGTGCTCGGGTCGTCCTCAAACCTCGTCAGGAGAGCCTCGCTGGCCCTCAGCAGAGCGGGCACGTACGACAGTGCAAGTGGAGGCGGCGCAGTCTGGGTCTGCCCCGCGAGAAGTTGCCGGAGCGACGCCTGATAGTTCCGCTCCGTGCGCACGAGCTCGCGGCAGCTCAGCAGCGCACGTCTTGCAACTTTCCACTCTGCATCGTCCGATGGTGATGTGGGTATTGACGTCCGATGAGAGTGCGAGTGCGAGTGTGAGGTTGAATGTGACTGAGAATGCGAGGCGTGTGAGACCCCGTCGTCGTGATGTTCTTCGCTTTCGCTTGCGCTCTCTTCCGCCGCTTCGTCAATATCTTCTTCCGTCCGCTTCGCCGTCGAGTCCTGCCTGCGTCTGCGTTGCGACTCCCTGCGGCTCTCCGTCCTCATTCGCTCAAGTTCCTGCACAAGCACTTCGTCCGGCACGTCCGCCATGGCGATGGTCCAGCGTTTTATCGCGCTCGGACTACTCTGTATGCATCGTGATACCACCTCCTCGATGTCGCTCGGCTTGTCGAAGGGCATGCTTCTCCTGGCATCGCGAACCTCACGGACTGTCCCAGGCTGAGATATTGCCTGCTCTCCTCCCCTTCCTTTCTCCAACATCGGTTTCTCCATCAGCTGTTCTCTCTCCCTTCCCTTTTCGAGCCTAAAAAACGAAGGCGACGGCCGCCTCCTCAAGCTGTCCTTCGTCTTCTTCGACCCATGCACCTCCGCGCCCTCGAAGCACACCTCAGCGTACGGATCGAACGAGTCTTCGTGCGACTTTTCCTTCAGGGCGACGGGCAGAACCGCGAATGCGGCGGTCCACTCCGGTGCTTTGCCCTTCTTTTCCTTCAGCTCGCCATGCCCATGCTCGCTCTTCGCCATCCTGGGCTTCTTCGATGATGCACGCGGGTCGGTTGAGTCGAGGGCTTCCGACGAGGCCCGATGGCTGAGTCTACTCGTCAGCGCGGCAAGTGCAGAGCTCGACAACGCAGACGTGTTGCCAGTGAACGCAAGTGATGCGAGCGCGTCCGTCGGGTCGATATCCGAGGGGAGGGAGCCCGACATCGGTGCAGGGCAATCGGGAAAATATGACCTCGAATAAGGACTGGGTATCTGTTTTGCGTGCGCATAGCAGTGTCAGAGAGGAAGGTCAAGTTGCACAGCGTAGAAGCGCACCTTCCCCGACGAGCCTGCCCAAAGCGGCGACGGCTGCCTCACAGGCGGCAAGAACTCCTTCTCCTTCCCTTCCTCCAGCCGCTCCATCTCGCGCGACCTGCTCACAGGTGCGTCCTTGCTTTTCGACCTCGAGCGCGGCGTGTGCTTAATCTTGATGCCCAGGATGCTCTTCGCGCGACTCGGCCGCATATCGGGGTCGAGACTCTTCCTTGTCCCGTCTGCGTTCCGCCTGGGGTTGTCGCTCAGCCTATCCTTGACTTCGACGGTCATCGATGCTGGTCGTCGCTTCGTGAGTTTTGCGCGCTTCATCGTCCCCCGCACGTCACTGTGGCCATCCAGACTCATCGCCTTCTCCCTCACCACCCCCTCCTCGCTTATCAAGTCACTCAGCACAGCCTCCCGCTCCTGCCTCAAAGGGGGCTGCGCCTCCCCCTGGAAGTAGCCCTTGAAGTGCGACGCATCGCTCAGGCCCGGGCTCGTTGGTGGCGTCGACCCGACGCTGCTTCGCCAGCCCGGACTGCCGCTCGTGCAGCTCGCGCTGCTCGCCGCCGTACTCGCCATCGCGCTCGAGCTCGTGCTCGCCGAGGTGGAGCTCGCCGTCGTCGCAGCACTGCTTCTCGACCCCGCTGACGTATTACTCGCCGAAGTGTTCGTCCGTGTCTTCGGGCCGATCTTCTCTCTGCTACCGCTCGCTTCCGCCGTGTTTGTTGGATGTAGAGCGGTCGTCGTCGTGGGTTGCGCGGGGTAGGTCGCGTTGGTCGTGTTGATGGCGTATGCAGAACTCATCTCTCGGTACCCGTGTCGTGGCTTTGCTTCAAAGGCCGGCGAGACAGGCGTTGCAGCAGTCTCCATGATGACACCTTGCAGTGGCATCACCGCCGTGCCTGACATTTCTGACGTCACCTCTCCGCCGTGCAATCCGTTCTGCCCGTAGACGCCCGCATTTGTCGCGACGCGTGCCCAATAGACGCCAGCGGGGGGCGGTGACGCGCCATGACGCGTGCGAGACTGGTTGGCTGAAGAGTCGCTTAGAGAAACAGCTTTTGAGGGACCGGCAGGAGAAGAACGTGTGGGCCTTCGGGATGAGGAGGGGACCCCGGACGTTGAGCGCGGCATGAGCGCGGCGGCGAAAGTCGGTGGATGGGATGTTCGGTCCTGCGCGGAAGAAAATTCGTGCGCGCAGTCGGACGCATACAACAAACTGTTCTGCAACGAGTGAGTCCGCTGAGAGGTCGCGCGTGGACTGTTATAACGGGCGGGGGCAGCTGTGGGGAGGGCGGGGGAAGGGGAGATGGGGGCGAAAGGGCCCGACGATGTTGGGAAGGCTGAGACGTGATAGATAATGCGCAGCGAGCGGAAGAAGCGGCGGAGACAAGCGGTGGACAGATGGGACGTTGGGCGACGGCGATCAAGGACGGTGGCGAATAGACGGGGCGAGGCGATTAGACAGGTATGGAAGGTGTGATGCCAAAGCGAATAGACGAGTAAGAAAAGTGAGCCTGACTATGCATTTTAATGGTATCTAGGGAAGACGCACCTCCGTCAACATCCTCACAACTGTCCCTGCTCATCCTCGCACCGTCCCAGGTCGAGTCCCAGCTCACCATCGACATTGGTCGCGATTCAGGCGGTAAAGTTGGTGACGCTATCGAGGCGCGCGGGGTATAGAAGCTGTCTGCACCCACGCTTGTCGTTGACACGTAACTAAGCGGTCTGTTGACTTGAAGCTCTCGGCTGTCCACGAAGGGCTCGACGACGTAGCCCTCTATGGCCTGCGGCGCAATATTCTGAACCTTACTAGCTCTACTTTCCCTCCGTTTCCCATCTCTGAGCCTTCGCCACGCAAACGATATAGCACGCATCCTTTGTTTTGGCGGCGACGGCGACCTTCTACTCGGCGATCTTCTGACAGGCGACGCCTTCCTGGTGGGCGACCTTCTACTCGGCGACCTCCTCACTGGCGACATCCTAGCCGGCCTCTCGGACACCTTCTTCGATCTAGGCGGTGCCTTTCTGAGCTTATTGGTCTTGCTAATCCTCCGCTCTCTACTAGTTGGGCTACCAAGTTCGGCGGTCGAAGATCCCAAGGCGAACGTACTCCTCGAATCGAGGTTCTCGCCGGCCCATGTTCTCCTCGGAAACGGAAACTTCTCTCCATCGTCTACCCGAAGGCCAGTGTAGATGTAGTCGAAGTTCGACTTGGACGAACCTGCAGATGCCCCGTCTTGCGGACCTGTGATACTCTCCAGTATAGCATCCAAGCTCGTTGGTCGTTCGCGGAAGCTTCGAACATGCGTTGCGTGCGCGGTACGATATCCGGGCATGGTGCGCATCCGCGTTGGTGAGCGCTCCGGTGATGACGACTGGCTGGGGAAAGACGACAGACATGGTGGATACGGAAGAATGCCCGGGATCAGATGAGGCGTAGCGGGTTCTGGTGCGCTGTCGTGAGGGTCGAGGTGACAGGGCGACCGGAGAGACAGGGCTGTCCACAAGGTATTCGGTTGACGGACTGGCGTCGTTACTTCGCAGAGACGATTCTGGTGGTGGGGGTGGTAGAGGTGGTAGAGGCGGAATTACAAAGGTCGTAGTCGTCAATGAAGAGGTTGCCGTCTCATGCGTCAAGCTCCGTTCGACCCCCGAGAGATCGACAAACTGCACCCGTCTCTTTGCACTTAGCTTCGTCTGTACGCCCAGCGCGCTGTATGGCGGCCGTCCGATGCCTAGGACAGAGAGAGTTAGTGTCGTCTACAACAGAGGGCGAAAGCAGCAAGCGTGGGGATCCGACATGTGTACGAAGAATGCTAGGATTCGAAGCATGGGCCAGCCGTACCGGGCAGCTTGCATAACACGAAGGCGTGAAAGATGTAGAAGGATAAACCTAGGAACAAGTGGAGCGCGATAGAAGGGCGAACGTGCACCGACACGATGCGCCGCGCAGTGATGTGCCGGGCCGCAAGAATGGTTGCGGGTAGGGATGGGAACGGACTAGCGATTCAAAGAAGCCATTTACTCACGGGCGGACAGCGGACTCGGCGCGCTCGGTCGCTTGTTCGGAACGTTATCTGCGAGAGAGGCGCGGTCACCTTCAGAGTGCGGAAGAGTAGGAGATGGCTGGTAGAGCGAAGCACGGGCATACGAATAGTGTCCCGGGTCAGAGAAAGTCGTTAAGATTTTGTCTTCGTCTTCATTAGAGTACTGGGAGGAGCTATCGGTGTAATGGCTCTCGGATTCGGATTCAGATTCAGATGCACGTTCCTGTTCGTCTACAGAGCAAGCTTGAACATTCGTGTCACAGAACGAGGATAGGAGACGTACCTAGTTGGGACACGACGATCCTCGGCCTCGCCTTCATGCTGCTCCTATCGTATCCCACGCCGCCCTTCCCTTCCTCTAGCGATGAAACGATGTTTGAGTTCAATTGTAGCGACGATGAATGTGGGGTATGTTGGGCTTCGTGATGGGTATTCGTGTAGAACTGCGGCATTCCTGCAGGCACTTTGGTGCAGTCCACCGACAAGTTAGCACCAAAAATGCGTGGACACAGCAAGGACACACCTTGCACAGGCACAGCGCACATAGGTGCGGCAGCCATGCTCGTCTATCTCCTGACAGATTGCGCCTCCTAAGCTTCGCAGACGCTGTCCGACGGCTGTGACTACCGATAATGAAGTCCAGTCGTGGGCAAGGCGTACAGGAGGTCTCCTAGACGTTGTTACCGCGTAGCATATAGCCAGACGAGCAAAGGTCCAAGTAAGGGGCGGAGAAACTGGGGCGAAGCGTTGTCTTGGTAGTCAGACTTCTATCCCCGGCGCTGGCGTCTTGGATGAAGTAAATGACGATACGCAGAGTTTGTCGTGGGGCATGTACGTGAGGCGGTTGTAACCCATCGCAATGCCGGAATAGAGTCGTGTTGACGTCACGCACAGTCGAGACCTCCGGGGCGGGAAGACGTGGAGTGGGAAGCGGCTTCGCGTTCGCACCCATCGCGCGCGTTTCAAATGACGGACAAGACCGATCGCGAGTCGCGAACCTTGTCGCCACTCACGCAAGCAACGGGCACATGAACATATTGAGAAGGTGCGCCACTGGATGGATCGCATATCGATAAAGTCGGCCTTTCCGGTATACACGTTTCCCTGGAGCAAGTATCACGGTCGTCCAAGAAAGGTCTACTTACCTGCCGCAAGTCACCCAGGACAAGGCCGAGCGCCCCTGCTCAATCGCGGAATCGAGTGCAGAGACAAGGACCGAGGAGACAACGGGTGAGACGTGGAGGAGAAGAAGGAAAGACAGAAAGACGTCAGTTTGGGGACGGGCAGACATATATACCTTCGGTGACCCAGCTGGATCGGACAGCTGTCATCACACAAGCTTCTATGCAGCTGGGAGCGGCGTCGGTGACCATGCATGCTGAATTGGAAGCTTCGGGACGTGACCGGGAGCGGGGTTCTCGATGTCCTAACGTCGATGCTCGCACCGAAGAACCGTACTACCTCATAATATTGCCGACCCTGCTTTATCGGCTCCACAGACGATCAGACAGAATACCAACGCTCTTTCATTGATAGAATACATTCATGAACATAATCTCCGTAGTATTATGCCAGTCCACTTGGGCAGAACAGAGGCATCTTCTCGCGGACAACGTCCCACTCCTCTGCAGTGGGGTCCCGGCCGGCCTCATCGTCCCACCAGCCCTCTCCGTCATTCACCTTAAGGAGAATGGAGCCAATCCAGCCCTTTGCAGCACCAAGGACTTCATCCCACGCGCCGATCTGGTCGATGAACTGGCCGCCGAGGCGCAGCTCGAGGTTGAGTTTGGGTCGCGGCGCACTCGGCTTGGCCTCGAGCTCTCTCATGACGAAGCCAAACAGCTCGTGCGACATCTGTGGATTGCCGAAGTCGAGGCGGAGGCGTTCGAGCTTCTGCAGGACGTCGAACCCAAACCCCGAGCCGAAGCCGAGACGCGACTCTGGGGCGCCAATGTACGTGTGAGCGTTGCGCCGCATATAACGAATAAGGAGGAACGGCTTACCATGCGTAGACGCACACTCCCGGAGGTTGAGCGCGAGCGTGCGGAGCGTCGCGCCCACGTCTGCGAGGATCTCCCGCACAGCGGGTACGTCAGGCGCCCAGAGCTGGTTGACCTCGAGCCTCCCGAGACGGCGCGCCATGTGCGTCTTCCGGAGCGCGCCCATGACCATATCGTACTTGCCGCCCTCGTAGAAGCCCATCGCGAGCTCCCTCCACGCCACATTCTCGAGCCGCCGCAACGCCGCGGGCGGGACGTCGTCCACCCAGAACTTACTCCGCAGCCTGACGTGGTGCCCGAGACTGAGCCCGCTGCGCGGCGCCACGACGGCCAGGAGCTGCAGCAGCTCGCGCGGGTCGAGCGTCATGTTATCGAGCACGAGCTGCTCGATGCGGCGCAGAGCGCCCGGAGGCGCCCCGAGCGGCGGGCCGACCCAAAGAGTGAGGCCCGCGAGGACAAGGTCGTCGAGATTCGGAAGCAGAGCCAGGCCGCGCGCGAGGTCAAAGACGTCCAGCCGCGGCACGTGCGTTGCGTCACCAAAGTTCAGCACCAGCTGCCGGATGCTGTGTGTCGCTGTCGCAGAAAGGACGGGCAGAGGGCCGAGGGCGGCGGCGAGCGTGTCGTACCGGGGGCGGCCACCGAAG